GTTTTGCGTGAATTTGTCACGCAAACTAAAAGTTTCTGTTTGTTTGTTTTTATTGAATTATTGTATATAAAAATAAGTTACTCTGTACACAAGTCAGGCTCAGGCTCAGTGAATATAGAGAATATTTTCCTCGCCGCTCGAAGACTCGCGTCTCGGTAAATATTTCCCGATATTCACTTCGCCTTCGGCGTATGATTGCTAAATAGAGAGAAAGAGAGAGAGAGAGAGACGGATGAATAGTATCTGAAAACAACAAATTGAGTATTATTAACAAGTATTTTCTGTGCTTAGCTTTCCAGCGATTGATCTCGTGTCTCGAGAAGATACGAAGTCAACTGGACAACAAACAAGACGACTTCATGTTCTTGAACAACTACTTCAACAGCCAGGAATTTCAGACCCTTTTTAAGGTATTTAGTTCGTTTGTCATCAGTTGCAGGTGTGTATCTTTGGTTAGCTTTATTTTAAGGAGGCTGGAAAGTGTTCTGTGATTTCACATACACTCACAATTATCAACTATAAAAAGACCATAAACCAAATATCATAATGAACACGAAAAAAAAAACGTAAGACGTAGTTGCTAGTACATCAGAACCCTTGCTATGCCATTATGAAAAAAATTAATTTAAAAAATTATAACTCAGGAACCAAATGGTGAATTTTTTTAAAAAAAACGGAATATTTAAACTTAAGAAAAAAGCTGAGCGGTGCATTTTGTTTTAGCCAATCACAGCGCTTTTAGCTGTTTTGCCGCCGGCCCTTATTCCCAGGTCGTACTGTAACCCAAGTTTTGCGTATTTTTCTGTTTTCTTTTGACTAAAATATAGCATATCGAATTGAGCTGATCCTCACAGTATATGAATCAACTTATGCAGCTGCAAATTGAAAGAAACAGAAAAAATTCTGAGTTTTGAACCCGTGCCCTGGCGATTCCGGTTCCATGCTCTAAGCACTGAGCTACCAAGTCTCATACGAGGYTTCAAGGACACATTAGGTGGGTTTATCGGCCCGATAAGAAATATTTACTTGAGTATGAGATCAGCTCAATTTGYTACATTACAGCCGCAGTACAGTACTCTCATACACCTATGAAATATAGTATACATGCCTACAAGAAGCAGAAATATGGAAAGGAAGAAAAAAAACAATTTCACTTTACCGCCATGTTTCCTTTGTTCCTTTAAGCTTTATGGGGCCGGTCATTTYGTCCAATCATGCTTTGCACGCCGCGTTTATCGCTCAGCTGGACAGAAAGGTGACAAATTTCTCATATTCTTTTCTATGATACTGATAAGGCTACTTCTGCTGCTACTCTTACAGACTGTTACTGCAGCTGCTAGCACTGTTGCTGCTGCTATTGATACTGCTGCTACGACTATATAACTACTTCTGCTGCAACTGCTGCTGTTACGCCATTTGGCCCGCGGAATTATAGTGTTCTGCGGGTCGCGACTGATACATCAGGTATAACCAATCAAATTAAGTCTTGCTTTTCATAGGTTCATAGTGCAGTCACCATATCGGAATCAATCAAAACGGAGCCGGTTAACAGGAATGCCTCAGATCTTCTTCAAGAGGTGAGTACGTGCGTCAAACTTTTAGTTCCTATGAGAATAAAAGGAAAAGATATGTCGGTGGCGGCGATATTGGTTGACATGACAAAAGACACTAAAACCAAATCTTTTGTCAAAGTTAACCAAAATGGTGGCTATGCATGCTACCACATAAACTAAGAAAATAAACTAAGAGAAGAAATCTCTCGTATTCATGCTTGTGACCATCATAGGTACTAGGCACCGTTTGAAGCTTTTTTTAGAATCACATTTGCCACCGTCAATTTTCTGATACTGCGTGCTCTCTACGCTGTTTGCTCACTTTTTTCTTGAGAGGAATCGGAGTAAACGGCTTAGAAAAACAAGTAATTTTTAAAATAACATCACTGAATAACTTCACAAATAGCACCAAGGACTGCTTATGATAGTGTGCAGGGATTCCTTCTCTCGCAGTTCATTTTCTCTTGACACGATCGAGCCTTCAAGCTAGAACAGTGCTATATTCATTATGTCCAAGAGAACACATTGTATAACTATTTTATCCTATGGTATTGAAAATACACACAGATCGATGAACAGTGTGGAATAAACTGGTTTCGAGTTCCAAATTACCTCTGTGTTTTATGATTACAGACTAATCTAAGGGTTAGGAAAAGGAACTTGATTAAGAAACTTATCATTTACTGGAAGAACGACTTATAGCGATTTCTTTGATTACTGATTGGTGTTTGCTCAGTAATAGGCGGGAAGAATTTTTTTCAATGAGAACACGGAAACCGTTATTTGGGTTCTTTATTTGTACCAAAATGTTATATAGACACTAATTCATTTAAATATGGTTTATAAATTAGCAAAAATTATAAATTAATATATATATATAATATACAGCATAATGCAAAATTTACGATCTTTTTGTACATACATACAAGTATATTCAAATATATATATTAAAAAAATATGTAATATCATCGCTGATATTTTTTTCAAGTTGTCTATAACTAGGGCTATCTGAAAAAACATCAGGGACGATATCGCATATTTTTCATATACTTTTGATATAGTACTTGTATGTATATATAAAGGGTCAAAGCATATGGCTGTATATATATAATGGTTTGTGTTATTCATCAATCTTTTGAATATATTGTTCAGTGTATAATTCTTAGTATCATAGTTGTTGTAACTGCAACTTTCTTCCTTTCTTTCTTTCCTTCTTTAATTTCTCTCTTTTCATTCAGTAAATCTTTAATTAAATAAAATTGTCTTATTTCAAGCAGGTTTGTGAAGAGCTTGATGAGCGTTGCGACGAAGATGAGAACAAAGATATTAACGAACTGAAGAATATTCTGGACAGCCCTCATTTCAAGGTAAAAGAAAAGTCCATTAAAGTCACTTAACTGATATCTCAGTTGATTGGCATTTATATATCTGCCTAAGTGGAAGTACTTTAGTTCTGATCATTAGAGCGAATTTTGTGTGAGTAGGAATCGCATTGCACTGGTGCGATTGGATAACGGTTAMTTTTATCGCTTTCAACTGTCTGGGAAAAGCCATTTGAGTGCCACTGTTGTTCCGTATTTCTAATTTTGGAACTCGAGGTAGACTTAAAAACTTCTGAGAATAAAGTTTTCAAACGAGAATAGAAAAAGATGGGTGTAGAAAATAGGACGCGGGGTACCAAACAGAAAATATTTGTGCTAACACTAGAACCGTTAAAGAAATTAAAGCTAGTATGAAAATAAACTTACTGTCTGACCCGGTTTACTATTTTTTTTCATATACCACTCAGTACGTAATAACACACATACTATAGTCCCCTTCACAGTTTCCCGCGCCATCTCGAAAGGTAGCCGTGCGTATGCCTTTGCATCGAAGCGAGACGAAAGGTGAGCTTCCAATGATAGAGACGTGAATAATTTTCCAAGGTGTTAAAAAAGGTCTCTATCATTGAAAGCTCACGCCGTTCGTCTCGCTTCGAGGCAAAGGCACGGATACCATTCAAGATGGCGAAGGGAACTGTGCAGGGGACTATTAAACAACTTAGATTTTCAGTCATGTTAACCGACATCAATCGAATGATATAACGATAAAAAATTAATATTGGGCTTCAAGCGGCTTTCCTTATTTACCCTCATTACATTTTATTGCGATTCCGTTGTTGCTATTTTTAGAACTCATTCCTTAGCGAACATTACCGATTAATTGCTAGAACGTGCTGGGATTTCAATTTAGGATATTGTCATTTGTTGTTTCTTGCGTGGTCGTTTGTTTCCTACTGCCATGGACCCCCTAGTTACTTAACGGAAATCAGGAAACACTAATAGTTTCGTTGACAAACGACTCCTTTTTTGTTTGTTTTTTT